AGAGAGCAAGGAGGGCCCTGATTCTTATACCTAGGTTTCTTGCTGAATGTCAGCTTCTTTCACAAATGTTTCCACTGATAACCAGGTTCAGATGCTGTTGACTCTTTCTCCAAGCATTTGAACACCAACTTCCCATTCTCTATTCCACCCTCCCACTCCCATAAAAGGTATGCTTGATCTTGGCTGATAGATAAATGATCTTCCTTAGGTGATAGCAGTGAGCTCCTCCACCATCTTGTGTAAGCTCAGCATACAAGGACCCAACGTAAACAAGCAGATCTCCCTGTGAAGTGCAAGTGCTAGGCTCCAAAGAGCAAGATTTGTAGAAATCATGGGATTGTAAACAAAGTTGACTGTGTGACTGCAAAGTCTACCTTTAAAAAAAATCAGGTTTCAATTCCCTGGATTCTCAGAAAGAGTCTTGTGACAGCCCCATGCTGTCTCCCTTTGACTTGAGTGTAAGTCCCAATAAAGCCCTGTTCAGATGGCATTGCTCGCTTGTCATTTCTATCTTGAGTTGAGCAGAAGAACCCAAGGCTGAGCTGGTAACACTAAAAGCTGAGTACTGGTGACTGAAAGTTGGCAAGACGGGTACCAATGGCAGTGGTCCTTTTTGGAAAGGCATGTATTAATTTCTACGGTAGTGGCGCATATAGTTCACTGAGGAATTATCACTGGGCAAGAGGCTTGGAAACTTGCCATTTAACGTATTCAGGAGTTTCTAATACACAGAGCCCCAAATGCTTGTTCTGAGAAACACAGCATTCTAGGTGTTTTTCTGGAACCAGCCCAGCTGGAAAAACACGTTAGGCATTGCCTGTTGTAGCCTTGTCTTGGACAAGTTCACCTTTTCCATCTCTACCATAGCCTCATCTGGGACTGCCCTTCCTACCTATGTCAGGGCTCCTAGAATCCAGGTTTTCATGATCCTGCCTTTATGCTAGCCTGCTTCCTTGAATTCATCTTGAATTCATGATAGTGTGGAAACTGGATCTTTAGGACTAGGGCTTCGTAGTATAGTGGGTGCCTAGTTTGCAAAAGGCCCTGGATTCCTTCCCCAGTACCATAGGAAAACAAAACCTAACAGCAACAAATAAAGTTCTGCTGCATAGAGTCTTTTGGTTGTTGTTGGTTTTGTTGCTGTTGCTGTTGATTTTTTTTTTCTATTTTGTTTGCTTTAGTATTGCTGGTGCTGGGGTTTGAATTCACTGTTGGTGTTCTAATAATTGCTCCATACCTCTAGGTGGCTTTTTGTTGGTCAATTGGAGATGGATTCTTGTAGATTTTCATGGCTTTGAACCATGATTCTGTAGATCTCAGCCTCCTGAGTAGCTAGGATTAGAGTTGTAAGCCACCAGTACCTGGTACATAGTTACATTATGAGCTAAGGTGACTTACTCAGATAGCTGAGGTGACATTGAAACAGCACTGTCCCAGGTATCCTAGAAGGTGACTAGCAGAGCTATGAGTGACATGCGTACTAGAATCCCAGAGCCTGAGTTAGGCCCTGCTCTGCTCTCCACCAACATTACAGTATTCAGCCATAATTCTTGGGGCTCACTCCCTTTATCTGTGCAATGGGAATAAATGGTGTTAAATAAAAGACAATTCAGATGTAAAGTGCTTCTCAGGGTGACCAACACACTGTGAGCATCCAATAATGTTAGCTGTTATTATTTATTATGCTGAGGGCACCAGCTTCAGTCACATGAAATAGTTTCTTGATAGTAAGTCAAGAGAGGGTAAATGGTTCTCTAGCCCAGAGAAACTTCCTTGTGTTTTTGCTACAACCTGATATTATATTCTGAGCGATTGATTTTCTTTTTTAGTTTAGGGCTTTCCTTTCCAGTAAAGTCAAGGACTTCAGAAAGGAAAAGAGAGTAAGGGTTTTATTTATTTATTTAGGTTTTTGTCTATCCAGGCTAATTTTGAACCACAATCCCCAGATCTCAGCCTCCTGAATAGTCCGGATTACAGGGATGAGCCATAGGTTATGGTTCATTTTTATTTTTTGTCCTCTCTAGAATAAACCTTCACCAAGGCCAGAGCTTTGTCCCCTTTGTCACTAAGAGGCTCACGCACTCTGCAAGTGGCTGGCACGTGGTAAAGGCAAAATGAATATTTCATGAGTGAGTGAATTACTTTTTCTTTTTAAAAAGCAATCAATAATAAAGATTTCTAAAAAGCAATTTAACCACTTGCATCAGCATCTTAAAATGTGCTTGACTCTAGATTCAATAGTGTCTTTTTAGACCAAAAGAGATAAGGAAAGCTTGTATTCAAATCTATTCAAAGAACTGTACGGTTAATGAAAAAAAAAGAAATAGTCTAATATAGTTTAAGTAAGAAAATTTAATTATCGTATGTTCATAAGCTGGAATGCTGTGCAGTCATTAAATTAGATTTCTTAAAAACTAACCAAGGTAGATTAAGTAAGCAAATTAGAATCCAAAACAGTAATAGAGCATAGCACCAATCATTAAAAAAAAGATGTATAGGAAAAATTAGCATTCATTTCATTAAAGTCTGAATAGCACAGCAGTTTTTAGGTTCTATACTGTAATAAACTTGCATTGTTTCTGCAAACAGAAAAGTGAAATAATTTTTAAGGATTTCATATTTTTATTTTACCTTAACATACTTTCACTGTTATTTAGTATATATTTTTATTCTGATAAATGGGGCTTGAACTCAGGGTCTGAGCACAGTCGCTTGGCTTTTTCACTCAAGGCTAGCAGTCTACCACTTGAACCACAGCTCCACTTTCTGCTTTTATTCTGGTTAATTGGAGATGAGTTTATCCTGCCCAGGCTGGCTTTGAACAGAGACCCTCAGAACTTAGCTTCCTGAGTAGCTAGAATTACAGGAGTGAGCCACTGACACCTGGCTCTTGATATTTATTTGTGTCTCAGAAAGGGATTTGTACCAAGAAAATTATCCTGCAGTTCCTCTTAGCTTATGTACATTTTCAGGCATATTTAATTTTGACTGATAGTTTTTCTCCTTTAAGTGACTTTCCCCCCATTTTAGGAAACAAAAAGCATTGGGTTTAGATTCTTGTTGGGGTACCTCTGGTGCTCTTCTTCCCTGTTCCTCAGAATGAAGAACTCCACCCTTAAAGGACATTTGTAGCCTTTACCCAACTAGTAGGGCATTTCCGCACTTAGATGTAAGTGCTAAAAACAGCCGATAAGACTGCTGGGAAGGAGCAGGGGGCCGCAGGGTCTGAGTGATTGGCTGCCATGACTGCTACTTGTAGCAAGTCTGACCCCAGTTTTGCACTAGTAAAAGTGCTACTTGCAGCATTAAATATAGTTTATATAAAAATCAAGCTTATGTACACTGCCTTGTCATGGTAAGGAAATGATACTAATTTGAATAGTCTTGCTAACTCTATATAGCATTTATTTTAAAAAGTGAGTTACCAAACATATCTAATTAAAAATTGGTGTGTAAGTTCCTAAGAATTCTGTGTGTGTGTGTGTGTGTGTGTGTGTGTGTGTTTGTAAGTTTTGGGGCTTGAACTCTGGGCCTGGACGCTGTCCCTCAGCTCCTCAGCTCAAGGCTAGTGCTCTACCAATTGAGCCACAACACCACTTTCAGTTTTCTGGTGGCTCATGGGAGATATGTGATCCTCAAATCTCAGCCTCCTGATTGGCTAGGATTACAAGCGGCGGGCAAAAAGGTGTTTTTTGTTGTTGTTCTTCTTCTTTGTTTTTCTGTTGTGGGGCTTGAGCTCAGGGACAGGGCACTGTCCATGAGCTTTTCTGTTCAATGCTAGCACTTTACCAGAGTGCCACTGCTAAGCATTCTTAACAATGACAACTGGAGATAAATTGATAAATAAACTTGAAACCAGAGAACTGATACTTATTCTTGAAAATGATTCCTTTCATAATATATTTCTAAATTATGGGCATCAGAGGGTACCAGCAGAACTTTCTGAATTAGTCTGGCTCTTAGTGGCCATCAATATTTATAATATTTATATCAATATTTATAATTTGAAAACACAAACCACAATTACAAGATGTTATAATAAGAATAACATGGACATGATTATAATCAAATCCTTCATTTCTGAAGATTCAAAATCTATCATGGAAACTATGCATAGTAAGGAGACATCTTAAGGTTCACTGGACCATTATGGAGGATTAAAAGAATCACAATAGATCTGCTTTATTAGTTGCATACAATTGAAGTCTATTTAGCTAAGAAAAATGTGAAGTAATATGGGTAAGTGTGTGTAAGATTAAACTAATAATATTAAGAACAGGATCATTTCTGAAGATTAACTAGACCTTATTGAGAGCTAATTAATTCCATGTCTAAGTGGCTTTAACTCTCTTGGATTGCTTCACATATAGTAAATAATCAAATACTCATTGATAGGATTTGATTTGTGGTTTTTTTTCTAGAAGAGATACAAACTCTTAATAATGATTTTCCAAAACAAGGTCTAAGATATTGGAACTTGAGGGGTGGCTCAAGTAGTAGAATACCAACTTTGAGTGAAAAAGTCAAGCAAGAGTATGAGGTACTAAGTTAAAGTCCCAGAACCCTGTCAACTTTCGAGACCCACTACTTGTGGAATTAGATCCTCTGGGGGCATAACTACATCTGACCAAGCACCTCAAGTGATTTTTTTTTTTTTTTGTCATTCATGGGGCCTGAACTCTGGGCCTGGGCACTGTCCTTCAGCTCTTCAGCTCAAGGCTAGCGCTCTACCCCTTGAGCCACAGCGCCACTTCCGGCTTTTTTCTTTTTGCTTATGTGGTGCTGAGGAATTGAATCCAGGGCCTCGTGCATGCAAGATAAGCACTCTACCACTGAGCCACCTTCCCAACCCCCTCCTCAAGTGATTTTTAGCTCAGGTATCACAGCTTTAACAAATGAAAGCAGAGTCCATTTTGGTAGTGGTGAAGCAGAACTATAGGTAAATAGAGTCAGAGGTCAAAAGTAAAGCCATAGAAAATAAAATATATAAACACACTCACCTGTTTCAGGAGTTTTATGAACAAAGGATGCACTCCAGGGCTGCCAGTACCTTTTGCCTGTCCCTTGACATCTCACTTGAAATACATACTTGACATTGGGCTTCAGATAGAATGTTGACTGTTGTACATATGTAAAATTGGCGTCAAATTCTTCAACCTAAAATTAACAAAACAGTTATTCTAATACTTAGTGGAAATGTATACATCACCCTCTATTCTGGGTACTCTCCTAGACCCCAAGAAAACAGACAAATATAATACTTTGTATAAAACATATATAACCATATACATGTTTTAAGCACTGAAAGTGAAATGCACCTTGCTTTGTGTTTGACAACTCTCTCTCTCTCTTTTTTTTTTGGCAGTCATGGGACTTGAACTCTGAGCCTGGGCGCTGTCCCTCAGCTCTTCAGCTCAAGGCTAGCGCTCTACCACTTGAGCCACAGTACTACTTCCGGTTTTCTTAGTGGTTTATTGGAAATAAGAGACTCACGGTCTTTTCTGCCCAGGCTGGCTTTGAACCATGATCCTCAGATCTCAGCCTCCTGAGTAGCTAAGATTACAGGCGTGAGCCACCAGCGTCAGGCCTGACAACTCTCTCTCTTTTTTTGGGGGGGGGTCCGGTGGTGGGGCCTGAACTCTGGGCCTGGGCCCCTAGCGCTCTACCACTTGAGTCACAGTGCCACTTCCGGCTTTTTTCTTTTTGCTTATGTGGTGCTGAGGAATTGAAGCGCTCTACCACTGAGCCACCTTCCCAGCCCCCTGACAACTCTCTTAAGCTTTGAAATTTCAAGAAAATCTACAAGGTAATGAATCTTAAATTATGAAATAGATGATCTTATTGGGAGAAGTGGAGGATTTAGTAAAAATTGTCTCTCCTCTCTCGCTCTCTTTTTCTCTCTGTAATTGGATATTTAGAGCAATAATTTTTCCAGAATGATGAAATAGCTCCATTTGCTCATGATTACTTTTGGAAAAATTACTAATAAGCTAAATGTTAAATTGGTCCTTTTTGCAGATTTATGCAAGCCTTGCCAGGCCATATGTGTGTATGTGTGTGTGTGTGTGTGTGTGTGTGTGTGTAAGCATTTAAGAATGATAAAGTTGGGTGCTGGTGGTTCATGCCTATAACTCTACTCAAGAGGCTGAGTAGCAATCCAAAAGAGTGCTGCTCTAAGCCAGCCCAGGCAGATAGCCTTCAAGACTGCAGCTCCAAAATAACCAGCAAGAGGCTGGGATGAAGGCATGGCTCAAGTAGGAGAGCTTCAGACAAGTAACCAATCAGAACAAGCAGTAGTCTATGACTTCAAGCCTAGTACCAGAAGGGGAAAAAGTGGGAAACTATGAAAATGCAATAGAAATAGAAAAGGCAGCTGAGGAATAATTTTGCGAGTTTTTTTTGTCACTACAATCAGAACTAAAACATAGTGGAGCATGTCCCCAAACCAGGATACCGTACAAGGTGTCCTCAGCATGCTTAGTAAGACATTTTTCTCACATAAAATAAATATATCTTCAAGTGCATTTATGCATCTACTGGAAACTAGCTACCAGATACTCATGAAAGAGAAAGTTAAAACCACCAAGGTTAAAAAGAAAGAAAAGAACAAGTTTTCAACTTCATTCATGAAGTCTTCTATTAAAATTCAACCTTAACATCAACCTTTAAAATCTGGAAAGCCTTGGAAATGTAAAATTCATGGGGAAAAAACATAGTTTATATTCTATGCTCCTTGAAAGATATTCCAAGTTTCAGTTACCTCCTGGCCCACCTGCTTGTAGACGTGACAGTTGGACACTCAAGGTACCTTGGGGTCCAGAAAACATTTTATGTATTATGCCAAAGATGTAACTTTTAAATGCCTGCTTTTTTTTAAAGAGAGTTGTTCAGAGTGTGGCTCTATTGGTAGAATGCCTCTCTAGCAAACATGAGGCCCTGAGTTCAAATCTCAGTACAAGAAAACAGGGGACTAGCACAGTGAGTGGCCTTTGTCATTTGCAAAATTACTTTGTGGTATTCTCTCAGAAGCAGTGTCCAGCAGTGGACAGAGAACCTGGATGAGAACTTGAAGTAGGTTTCAATGATAGAGCAAGGTTTTCTCCTCACCCCTACCTTTGTCACATTATGTCTCTGGGTTTGGCCTGCTAGCAAGCATGACTGATCGAAACACAGTGGAGTAATTGGATTTACATACTCTTGCCCCCTGCCTTCATCAGTAGGAAATGCTCAGGCAAGCCCATTGGTCCCAGGAAGAGGAGTCAGAGATATGTACAGGGAAGCTCAGGCTCAGACATGTGAATAAGCCTGCTGAGCTGAGAAACATGCCCAATCCTAGCTAAGCTCAGCCTAGCCCTACTGCATTCTGACTGTGCAAAATAAATGCTGACGGTCAGGTGTCACTTCCGTTTTGCGGCTGTTTATTACCCATGATCGTAGCAGTTGCTGGTGTGCAACTGAAGGATGTGATGGAAACCCAGCAGAAGATTTTTGAGAACTAAATCCTTTGTCTTTCATTGGTAAAAAGGCAATTTCTACTAAAATTTTGTGGCTTAGATTGGATCCTATATGATTGTCCCTTATTAACAAATTTGAGTGCAGTTTTGTTTAACTATGTACTTTATAAAATGCCTTTTGATTATGAAAGATGATGTACCTGCTCTTGTCTTTACTAATTTGCATTTACTAATTTGCTTGCTTGTAAATGATTTGTTTGTTATTTTTTTTTTGTCTTTTCTTTTTTGGTACTGGGGATGGAACCCAGGACATTGCACTTGCTAGGCAAGCACTTTGCCACTGAGCTACATCCCAGCCCAGTTATTTGAGGTAGGGTCTTTCTATGTAGCCAAGGCTGGCCTTGAACTTGCAATCCTTCTACCTCTTTCTTCCAAGTGCTTGGAGTACAGGCATGAGCCATCACACCAGACTATACATACATTTCTTTTAGAAACATAACAGTCCTTTAAGGCCCAAAGGTAAGGACTACTAATGGTATTTTTTTTTTACCATATATATTTAAAGTGTACTACATGATTTATATCTTAAGAGAGAAGCTGTTCTCTTGATCCAAGAGTCTAGGAAGAATTCACATAGAGACAGCTCCTTTCTAAGGAGGTCCCTGCTGTTTGGAAGGAAAGTTTAAGCTAGATTAGATGCACCCCATCTACTTTGATGAGCTGGTCCTACTTTTAAGCTAGATTGCAGAGTAGCCGGATTTTCTCATGAATGTTTATTTTCCTCTTGCTATTTCTGAGACTTGACTTAAAACTTCTTTGCATGATTCAATTTATTCTGAGCTACACTACTTGTGAATGCAAGTTCTCTGAAGAATCTGCATCCATGTTAAAGATCTTGTGGACAACTTGGCCTTGGCTGACCAGGACATGGTGATGGTGGAGAGACAAAATGTTGTAGATCAAGAGGCAAAATTATCTTGAATATCTTAGGCCCTCTCTTCCCACCCTTTTTTTTGTAGGTCATGGGGCTTGAATTCAGGGCTTAGGTCCTGTCCCTGAGCTCTTTTTACTTAAAGCTAGCATTCTACTTCTTCGAGCCATAGCGTCACTTCCAGTTTTTTGGTGGTTCATTGGAGATAAGAGTCTCATGGACTTTCTCACCTGGGCTAGCTTTGAACCCTGATCCTCAGACCTCAGACTCCCACGTAGCTAGAATTAAAGGTGCAAACCACCAGCACCCTGCCCTCTTAGGCCCTTTAATGGCCGTTTGTCTGAACTTTTGAATCTAACCTAATTCATCTCATGACAACTGTGTAAACTCGGATTCTTATCACTAAATTCAGCAGACCTTTGGCATCCTCCAGCCCTACAGTTTAGAAAGCTGTGAAATGACACCTGAAGCCTGTGGCAGGGATTTCCCTGCTTTGCTACAGCGCCACCTGGTGGGTACCTCCACAAATGTAATTGGTAAAAGTATTGACAAGAGGATTTATTCTGGGACCATAGAAATTTGTGTAATTTCTTTCACAGTGCAACCATTCAATAACTTGAATCCATGTCCAGATAGTCACTCCTATCTAGCTCTGAATAACTATTGAATAATTTCTTTTCAAGCAGATTCATATTTTACTTAGACTAATGGGATATGGGGGGGCAACATATTTGTGATTGTTCTCCACATGCAATTTAATCTCTGTGAAGAATCTGAAGTTTGAACTTGAAACCCATTTAACAACAGACAAAAATACTGCCTTTCAGTGTTAATGTGGCAGGATCACAGGATGACCTGTCTAGCTCCCTAGGAACCATGCCATCTCTAAGCAGCTTAGCTACAAGGGCTGAGAAACCAGGTTCCTTCATAAATCACTCTTGCTTGGCTTCCTGCAGATTAAGATGAAGCGTGGAAGTAATCGCTATGATACAGTGTATGCTAATCCTGTTCCTGTGTTGGAGCTGGTTCTTACACCACCTGATTTCTTTTCCTATTCTACCTTACTCCCCCATCCCCTCCCCCAACCGTATGACATAGCTGCTTATAGTACCCCATTTTACCCATGGGAATAATAACACACAAGAAGATAAGGAGCTTGCTCAAAGTCACACAGCTAGAAAGCTCTGAACTCTAGAACTTATCATCTCAGCCACAAGGCCACCCTGGGAGAGCTGTCTGTCATTTAGAAGAATCACCCTCCATCAATTCTTTCTGGTGAAGATAAAGTCATCACAGAGCTGGGCTGGAAGGAAAATCTCTAGTCATTTCTGTACTCTCTCTCTCTCTCTCCTCTCTCTCCCTCCCCCTCTCCTCCCTCCTCCTGTCTCTCTTTGGTGGTACTGGGGTCAGAGCTCAGGATCTCTATTTGGTAGGCAGGTGCTGTACTACATGAGCCACATCTTTGGCTCTTTTTGCTTTCTTTCTTCCTTCCTTCCTTCCTTCCTTCCTTTCTTTCTTTCTTTCTTTCTTTCTTTCTTTCTTTCTTTCTTGGATGGGGTTGTGTTCTTGTTTAGGATCACAGGCACACACCAGTACTCCTGGCTGTCAGAATGGGGTCTCACTCACTTTCTTCTCATAATCATTTTCTGGAATTATAGGCATATGCCATATTATTCCTCCTTCTCACTTCTGACTTTCTTATCTCTCCTCAAGGAGGCAAAGACATCTCATGTATGATCCAGATGAAGCTGAAGTTGATATTATCAAACAAAACTTTATCCTGACTTTTACTGATCTGATTTGGGAACTCTACATCAACAAATTTGATTTGTATTTTTTTTAACAGTACTAGGGTTTCAACTCAGGGCCTTATGCTTGCCATGCAAGCACTTTGCGATTGAGCCATGCCTCTAGCCTTTGTCTTTGGAAATCTGGAGAGAAATGATAATCCAGTTTTTTTTTCTGTGTAAGTGGTTGTGTTTAGAATATATATGGTAGAAAGGAGAGAAAATGTGCTTTGGATTGAAACATATTCTTTCTTTATCTTTTCTCTCTCTCTCTCTTTCAACACTGGAAGTGCTCTACCCCATGAGCCATTTCAACAGCCATTTTTGTGTTGGTTATTCCCAAGATCCTGGTTCACCTGGACTTTAATTCACCTATCTGTGCTTCCTTGAATGGCTGAGGATGGCAGATGTGTACTACCACATCCAATCATTGGATTAGATGTGAGCTTTTAAGCATTTTTGTCAGAGCTGGCCTTGAACGTGAATCTCTTGATCGCTGCCTTCCAATAGGTAGGATTTCAGCATGAGTCACCATTCCTGGCTTGATCTTTCATTTTCTACAATAGTGTGAGGTCTCTACGGAACAGTTATGGAGTGTGTAAGATTGGAGAAGCTTGGCTGGTCCTCTTTGGGTTCTATCTCACTTATCTAATGAGCTGATACTGTCCCAAAGGACCGTTAGGAGGATTGCGTGAGATAAAGAATATTCCTCTAGCGATTTCATTTGCTGCTTCGGATAATGAGAAAGTTTTAAAAGTGAAGTTGAAGCATAGTGGCTCAAGCATTCAGAAGGTGAGGCAGGAATCCTGAGCAGGATACTTATTTTTTGGTAATACTTAAGTATTAACAAATGTCTCCTGTTACCAAGCCCCACCATGGCACAGTCAGAGCCACCAGGGGGCGCAAAATTCAAAACTTTCAACCAGAAAATGGTTTCTGAAAAATGATTCCTACACTCTGGTAGTTCTTTCTGTTTTATTAGACATTCTCATGAACCATTCCCTCTTCCTATTTATACCAGATAAGGGAATTGAATATTCTCAGCATCACCAGGAACACCTGGAATCCTAGCTACTCAGGAGGTTGAGATGTGAGGATGATGGTTTGAAGCCAGCCTGGGCAGAGAAGTTCATGAGACTCATCGCTAATTAAGTAGCAAAAAGTCAGAAGTAGAAGGGTGACTCAAGCAGTAGAGTGCCAACCTTGAATAGAAAAAGCCAAGAGAGAGTGAGAGGCCCTGAGTTCAAGCCCAAGCACTGGCACAATGATATGTAATGGATATGTAAATATACACACATATATTCTCAGCACCCTCCTATGACTATAGGAACCAAGCTGTACTGGTCAAGTAAAAAATTTTAACTCAAGCTGGGAAGGTGGCTTAGTGGTAGAGTGCTTGCTTTGCATGCCTGAAGTCCTGGGTTCGATTCTTCAGCACCACATAAGCAAAAAAAAAAGAAGAAAGCCGGAAGTGGCGCTGTGGCTCAAGTGGTAAAGTGCTAGCCTTGAGCTGAAGAGCTGAGGGACAGTGCTCAGGCCCAGAGTTCAGGCCCCACGACTGGACTCTCCCCCCAAAATTTTTAACTCAAAATCTAAGACTCAAGAATTTGCTTGGAAGTTTACCTAACTTCCACACATGCAAAAGGAGTGTAGCTAGAGCTGCAGTTGGTTATTATTAATCAAATGATTCAGAACATGAACTCTCAGCAGAACATGGTGATATAATCAACTGCAAAATTCACATCTGTGGTTTTAATGAACCAGCTTAAACAAATGAGTTGGCAATTGCAAGTTTATTTTTAAACAGTGATATTTAGGACAGATAATCAAATCAATGTGTCTTACTCCTATCTTTTTGACACATTTTCCTCCAGTACTAGGGCTTGAACTCAGAACCTTGCTCTTATGTTCCGCTTTTCTTACTCACAGTTGTTCTACCACTCAAGCCATGCCTCTATTCAAACTTTTTTTTTTTTTTACTAGCTAATTGGTTTTACTCCCCTGGTTGGCTTAAAACTGTGATCTTCAGTTCTCAGCTTCCTGAGTAGCTAGGAATGCAGGGTGAGCTACCTGAACCCAGCTTCTTGACACTTTTATTTATTTATTTTTTTATTGTGAAAATACTGTACAGAGGGGTTACAATTACATGGGCAAGATAATGAGTACATTTCTTATCAAGCATTGTAGCCTCCTCCTTTGTTTCCCTTTCCCATCCCTCCCCCTGTCCCCCCACCCAATTCTCCTTCTTCCCCACCCCCCAAAGTTGTAAAGTTCGTTTTCGACATAACGACTTGTACATCTCATTGTTGCAATGGGTCCACCTGTATCCCTATTTAAACGATTTGTTTTTTCCCTTCCCCTCCACAAATTATACCAACATCAAATACAGTGAAAGCACTGGTTATACTGTGGGGGAGGGACATACAAAGCAACAAAGAAATATCTTATAAATGTGTTAGAAACAATCGTATGAAAGAAAAAACATTTGAATCCATATCTTAGGGTTCATTTCCTTAACATCAACTTATCTGACACTTTTAAAACATATTACTCTACAGTAGAACTAATACTCAAAATGGTAAAGGTTAAGCAGCAGAGAATTTTGAGGTCATGCCAATCATAAACTATATTATGTTTAATGTATATCTTAGTATCTTATTTAACTGAGTGAAAACTGGTTATCCAATAAAGGACTCTTGATTAAACAAAGCCAGAAACTTCAATCCTCAATTATCTAGATTAAGTATTATGCTTGAAAATAACAAAATGATATATTTTTTTAAATAAAAAATCAGAAGTTTTTCTTTCTTCCTTCCTTCCTTCCTTTCTTTTTCTTTCTTTTTTTTGGGGGGGGGTCTGGTTGTGGGGCTTGAACTCTTGGCCTGGGCGCTGACCCTCAGCTCTTCAGCTCAAGGCTAGCGTCGTACCACTTGAGCCACAGCGGCACTTCCGGCTTTTTTTCTTTTTGCTTATGTGGTGCTGAGGAATCGAACCCAGGGCCTCATGCATGCAAGGCAAGCGCTCTACCACCAAGTCACCTTCCCAGCCCCCAAATCAGAACTTTTTCTAATCAGGCTAGTTCAAAATTAAGAATTTTTATTATACTGTTCACAAGTATTATCATGTGATGAAATTTATTAATGCACATTCTAACTATATTCTTCCTAAGACATTTAATAATTTACTTTTGGTGTTTAGGGATAATTTGTCTAGACATTCCCCTTTTCACTTTAAGGCTAAAGTTTGTATTAATGACAACTATCTTGAACTTCATAGTTTTGATAGTTTTGATTTAAAAAGAGATATCTATTAGTTCAAGATTTCCATTTGAAAAATTTTCCTTCCCTGGGTACTTGTTAAAATTCAGCATAGAATACTTCATTTTATAATCAGGACCACTGATATAACTTTCACTTGTAAGAAAATAAAAATTGTTAGGTCTCTCTGAGTTGATTTGATAATTTAGCAATTTGCAAACAAAAAGAAGATTTTTTTCAAGAAACAGCTGTCTAGAAGTATACATAGTCATTATTAAAACGGAATTGGTTTGACTATCACAACAACCATCAGATAAAGACATGTCAAGTGAATTCTTCATAAGTCATCTGTGAACACTGAGAATCACTTTTCCTTTTACAGCATTCACTCATGTGCTAAAGAAAAATGGAAGTTTGGCTTACATTCCAAATCTGGCTTGTGGTAGCCCTGTATCTGATTTCACAGGAAACCTTTTCAATGGCTGTTTCACTACTCCAATAGATTACAGTCTTGCCCATTGTAGCATTTATAGTCTCAGCCTTGGAAATGATAGATGCAAAGGGTATCACTAGAAGAAAAAAGATGCAAAAACATAGAAGTTTAGCAACTTATCTAGGAGACATTCATATCTTTCCATCAATATATAGACATGTTAAAAATCAATTTTATAGCCCTCCATTTCATAATTGAATTAACAATGAATGAACCTTGCTTAGTATTCTAATTTACCATGCAGGAAAGAACTGCTATTATAAAGTCCATTATTAACTTCTATTAACTGTTACTATGTGCTGTTAAGAAGACCATTCTTCATTTCTTTCTAATGGACTCTAAACTCTTGTCTTTCCCCTCACCTCCCTCCACCTTATAATCCTAATAAAATTCCAGAGCTTGGCTTTATTAATGAAAGAGTTTACAAACAGATAAAGGAGAAATCTCCCTCTTCCCTGTGTCTGCTTAGGGAAAGATGGTGCTTTGCATCTGCCATGGTTTGAGCATTAAATGTCCGCCAAAGACCAATGTGTTAAGGGCTTAGTCTTAGCCCCCAGCTATTGGTAGGTAGTGGAAGTCTTAGACTGTGGAGGTAGGAAGGGTTTAGAAGAGTACATGGAGACCTAGACCCCCTCCCCTCTTTCTTTTACCTTCTCATGAACGGTGAATGAGATGTATAGCTTTAAGTGCTCTGACATGATTTTTTGCCTCACCACACCCCAAAAGCGGTGGGGCCAACCAACCGACCATGAATGGAAATCTACCTTTCCTTCTTACAAGTCTTTTTCTTTTCTTTTTGATGCTTCAACTCAGGGCCTAGGTACTGTCCCTGAGCTTTTGTGTTCAAGGCTAGTGCTGTATCACTTTGAACTATAGCTCCTTTTCAAACTTTTAAGTAATTAATTGGAGACGATCTCACAGACTTTCTTGACTGGGCTGGCTTTGAACCCTAATCCTCATATCGCAGCCTCCTGAGTAGCTAGGATCATAAGGCTTGAGCCACCAGCCCCCTGCTAAGTTCGTACATTTGTTAATAAAACTTACACTGGGTAATAACGTATTTGGCCATGAAGCTTGCAATACCAGATTCAGCTATTCAATTTATGTTCATGTTTCAAATAGTTCTGTCATATCTCACATTAAAAAAAAACTAACAATCCATGGTAGATATATTTTTTGATTCTACTTGTTTTGAAATAAATAAACAGATTATAGTTATGTGTTATCTTTCCAAGGTGTGTTTATCCATATTTATGCAATAGGGAGAATTAATGTTCACAGTGGCTGGCAGAAGGCACAGATCTTTCTCTACTGAAATTTATTTCCAGCCCTACATTTCAGCATAGCTTCTCTAAGGTAATTAAAGCCCAACCTTGCAGCAATTACATGGAAATTACTCCCAGAAGAGTCTTCGTGCTCTCAGTTTCAGAAAACAGCTCATTTATCTAACTTGCACTCTCATTCCTGAAGTGCCACCAGTGGAAACGATTCTGTTAATGATCTCTAGCTTTGTTGATGGGAGTTTCCCACACAGCCAGTGTGTATTTTCAATCTGAGTTTCTCAGTCCATTTTTTAATAAGGAGAAGGTAAAGATGGAGGTAGGGAGCAGCAGAGGGGGACAAAAAGGGACAGGAAGGAGGGGAAGGAGAAAGAGAAGGGGAAGAGGAAGGGATAGGAAGAGATTGGGAGGGGAATGAGAGGGAGAGGGGATGGTGAGAAGGCAGAAGAAGAGGAAGAAAAGGAAGGGGAGGGGGAGAAGGAGGAGGGCTGGGGGAAGAAAGGGGAGAGGGAGAGGAGGGGGGAAGAGGGAGAGGAGGAGGAGGAAGAAGAAATACTCCAGTTTACAAACATGAGCAACAAGCCTTGGAGATGGAGTCCAGCTAGAATTTTCTCTTTAGGGGTGATGGGGGAGCGGTTAACTAGATAGCAACTCACCAAGTCTGGACACAATCTGCTTTTTTAATTTATAAGCTGAATGATTTTTGGAAAATTGTTTCATCATCTTCCTTATCTGTAAAGTGGGGACAGTAGTGTTCTGTGTTTGTTTCCCAAATGAAATGTGATGAGTGTTAGCTGGGACACAGTAGGCTTCTAAAGAATGGATGTGATGACTAAGGCTATATTGAAAATAGCACTAAAACCACCACTGATTATAAGCTAGTTTCTAACAGTGACTCTGTTGCCATGATATTGGACATGAGAACTTTTACACAGCATTAATCCATTCAAAGGAGTCTGTTTTAAGAAGAAGGTATATTACTGTATCCTGCTTTAAAATGAAGATTTACCAAAATAAAAGTGTCAGTCATGCAATCAAGAGAACTGTAGTTGTCAGCTATTGTTCAACCCCATAGTCAACAGTGTATGTTTTCAAATATGAATTTAACATTCAGAGCATTGGACATATTTTTTGACCATTTCATTACTTAAGAGGGTTATGATTACTTGAGAAGTTATTAGTTGTGATTTTTGTATCTAGCAATCCCCAAAGGGTAAAGGAAAGGCTTTATATACCCTAAATCATTAAACAACAGGAAAGTTGTCAGACACATAGTAATGTGTGTGTGTGTGTGTGTGTGTGTGTGTGTGTGTGTGTGTGTGTGTGTGTGTGCTGGAAATGGGACTTGACCTTAGGGCCTGGGCACTGTCTTTGCTTTTTTGTGCTTAAGGCTCCTGCTCTACTGCTTGAGCCATAGCTCTAGTTCTGGCTTTTTGCTAGTTAATTAGAGATAAGAGTCTCATGAACTTTCCTGGCCAGGCTGGCTTTGAATCCAGACTTGGCACTCTCTGGCTGAGTCCTGAATTTATGACTCGGCAATAGTTATAAAAGGCTCAAAGGTAATTATTGTTTTGGAATTTATTTTAATAAAACAATAAAGAACTAGGTTAGAGCAGGGGCTGGTGGTTCCCACCTGGAATCCTAGCTACTCAAGAGGCTGAGATCTGAGGATCCTGGTTTGAAGCCACCATGGCAGTAAAGTCTGAGACTTTTATCTAACTACCAAAAAGCAAGGAATAGAGCTATGGCTCAAGGGGTAGAATGCTTGGAGCCAAAAAGCTCAAAAACAGTGCCCAAGCTTTGAGTTCAAGCTCCAGGACTGGCAAAATATAGAAAAAAGAAAAATAAAAGGAAAAAAAGAGAAAAGAAGTAGATGGGGGGTTTATCCACAGGATTTCTTGTGGCCATACAGTTTATAATGTAATCCTCCAACAATATAGGGTTAAACTACTAAATACTCAGATAACACAAAAAATAATTTAGATTAAATTAGTAGAAATGTTTATTACATATTGTAAGTAAAAAAGGCAGGATCTAAAAAATATCTGAAGCAAAAGATGTTAACATTTGTTAATCTGGCTGGTGATTACAAAGATGTCTCTGCAATTATTTTGATGTGTTTTGTAAAGCTTATTGAAATAAACATAAAACCTCCTACATAATTCCCCAAATAGTATATAGAGTATAATTTAATATTCTGTCCTTATAAGACTTACCACTTGTTATCATAACCTTTGTTTCTTTCCATCTTCTCTGTAAATCATCTTACTTTCCCTGGCCCTCAGAATATAAGCTCCCAAATAAATACTTGTACAGATGCATACAGCCACATAGAAAGAAAACTGGAATGATACACAATGTGGTGGGACTAGTCTTTATCTCTGAGTTGTGTTGGGCAGGCAAAATTACGAATAATTTTTGCTTACTCATCATAATCTACAGGAATTTTATGAGAGCTTTGTTTTTAGATTTTTTTTAGATATCATTTTTTTTAGATATTTGTTTTTAGATATCATTCAACTAAGCACAAATTAGTTGTTTTTTTGTCAAAGGCATCATAGGTTATCTTAATTTTTCTTTTACCTATATCATCCAAGTAGATTTGCAGTTGTTTTGACTCTGCCATGCCAAGTGCATTTGCAGCTTGAACCCAAACCAGATACTCTCTGCCACTTTGCAGTGTGTCAGTGGAGATGTTAACATAGCTGGAGGTGAGATATTGGTGCTCTTCTTTTGTCTCTACACTTGTGAAAAGAGAGAGAGAAAGGACCATAGGTTAGTTTTAATTAATTATTCTAGAAATTTTGGTGATACCTTTTAAAGCTTGCTTTCCAAATGCAATCTTTTACTGGTGGGGAGGAGGGAAAGAAGAATCAAACCTCTCACTTTAGTTTCTAATATTTTTTTTGGAGAATGGGGGTTTAGGAAGGGTATTGCTGTGTATCGCAGATTGACCTCAAACGTATGATCCTCTTGTCTCAGATGTCCTAGCACTGGGATTACAGGTATGAGCTACCATGCCTGGCTTATTTTCTGAAATTTTTAAAGACAATGTAAAATCTGACTAGGGCCCATACTATGACTTTAGTGGGTTCTAAAATCAATTGCCTTGCTAGATTCCTTTCTCTATTAAAAAGGTATGCATATACAGACCCATGCAAAGTGCACATATATAAATATGCATATATGCACATAGACATTAATACATGTTGTTTTGCAACTATGTTCATGTAAAGACAGACACATTAAAATAGTATGTTACAACATTTTCTTCAACTAAACCATTTAGTTTTCTCCTCTGATTTTAAATTTAAATAAAACATTTTCAGAAACTTCTCAAAACATTGTGAGTGCTTGGCACATGCTACCTGTGCCCTGTGGTTCATAAATGACTCACCTCTGGGAACAAGCATTGGGAAAGGTCTGGTGCAAGGAGCTTGAGTTAGACATTTCTGCCAGGACATAAGATAAAGGTAAGGGGAAGAGGAGGTTCATGATGGGGTAAGAGATGGAGCTTGGGTAGGGAAGGCTGAATTTACAGGCAGAAACAAACAAACAAAAAACTAGCATGTTTGAACCCAAGCAGATTCAATGACATTCCTGAGAAAGTTCAGGAGCAATCCTCTGGGGGAACGCAAGTGCGAGGAGCAACTAGAAGTAGAGCAGGGTAGGTCACAAAAGACCTTCTGTGAGCAGCTGATGGATGGGGATTTATCACTCACATGATGAGAAACGTGCATGTAATCAGATGTCTCTATTTGTAAGGCTCTGGGGCGGTGTGACAGCTTCTTATAGGGTAGATGAGTGGGAAGTGAACATGTTGGAAGGAAAACGCAGGAAAGGTCATGAGCTGCCACGTGCTGGTAGTTTCCTCTGTGATCCTACCTACTCAGGAGGCTGAGACCTGAGGATTATGGCTCAAAGCCCACCCAGGCAGGAAAGTCCATAAGACTCATATCTCTGATAAACTACTCAGGAAAAGTCAGAAGTGGCACTGTAGCTCAAATGGTAGAGCACTAGCCTTGAGCCAAAAGAAGCTCAAGGACAATGCCTAGGCTCTGAGTTCAAACCCCAGGACCAGCACAGAAGAAAAAGGCTGTGAGCTCATTCAGACTTGGACCATTGGTCTGAGGTAAGGGAAGGTCTTTTGGGACAAACATGAAGTACTTTGAAAATAGAACTCACTGGACCTGGTAACTGAACACATGAGGGAAAGGAATCATCTGTTAACTAAACAATAGAGCATGTAGATGAGGCCAGAACTAGTACATCTTTTCAATTATATTTAAGTTTTATTCTTCTCAGGGCTTTAAGTCCTGAGACTTAAAGTGCACTATTTCCTCACATCAGCAGTACAATCACTGTCACACCATGAGGGGTAAAACAGGCCTATGGTGGTGACTACAAGCACAAGGACTTGGGTGCTAGGGACAGACTTATGTGCGCATCCCAGCTAGACTCATAGACACATTGTGGAACTTGGGGGACGATATATAACCATATCCTTTAGGTTACTCATTTGTAAAACAAAGATGATAATAATTGTTATCATAAGAAGACATATGAGATAAGAAAGAAAGGAACAGATGACTTTGTCCATAATGAAGAACTCATGAAATAAACTCGATTATGGATTCAAAGATGTTTATGATATATCTACTTTAACACCCACAAACAGAATTTTAAAAAATTTGTGTGTATATACTCACAGAGAGACACACACATTGTCTCTACGTAGCCCAGACTTGGCTTAGCACTCCCATGTATCCAGGCTGGCTTCAAACTCTTGATCCTGCTGTCTCAGCCTCCTGAACACTGAGATTGCAGGCATGCAATACCATATCCAGTTGTTACATTTCTTTACTATTGCTTCTATCTAGAGATAAATTATATGCTTAAGCTTAAACGTTTATATAAGTGCCTTATGTTCTTTCTAAAATGTGAAAGAACATAAATGCTCAAACAGAATTTTTGGAAGATGTGCTAACCTTTAGTACGTAGGAATTCAAACATGAAAACAAGAAAATAGCACTATGGGTAAGTGGGGCATCTTTGACTATTTTCCAGTTAGAGAAAACCACAACACATTCTTAACTAGTTTGTGGCTAATCCTTTTACCACACATATAGAGATCTCAAGTCAAAATGGAAATGTATTCTTAAAATGACAGCAACTCTAATCACTAGGTTCTTTATTTCTGCTCTTAATATCTATGTCATATCAGCATCCAGACCACAGAACTATTTTAGTTGAAAAAATCAATAATAATGGCTGATTGCTCCTTAGGACTATTTTTACACAAATGTCATAGTGTTGTGATAAAATAAGTACTGTAGATATTTAGTTTCTTCTTGGTCCCTGGCTACACATCTCCTCTAGCCCATGAGCTCTCCAGAGTGGTAAGGATCTTTCCAAAGAGATGGCAGATGGGGATGTTCAGAATGGAGGCTGGTTGCTAGAGGAGCTCACCAAGTCCCTGAGAACTGTGTTGGTGACCTGACTGTCACCCATCCTATTAACATTTTTTTTATCTGTCACGGGGCTTGAACTCTGGGTCTGGGTACTGTCCCTCAGCAATTCAGTTCAAGACTAGCGCTCTACCACTTGAACCATAGCACCACTTCCAGTTTTCTGGTGGTTTATTGGATATAGGAGTTTCACAGACTTTCTGCCTAGGCTGGCTTTGAACTGCAATCCTCAGATCTCAGCCTCCCGAGTAGCTAGGATTACAGGCATGAGCCACCAGCGTCTGGCTTCCTATTAGCTTTTATCTTTCAGGACAGGATGTCTGTAGGCCCAAAGTCCCTCCTCAGGCAAACTAGCAGAATTTGCCTAGATCTAAGGTCGCTGCCAGAAGGACCACCAGACAACCTCTAACTTTATCACAATCCCAGTTCTGTGTTACCTGCCGTGCTCTCCAATGCCATCAACAATTGCCATGGTGAGGAATCTTTCTCCCCTCTATGAACGTCTGCCTCCCCCCATTTCCTTTACAGTATGTCTATAATCTTCCAAGGGTTGAGCAGTTGATTTGTGAGTTATCTTCCAGTCCACCTATTCTTGGCTGAAAACAAAATCTATCTCACTATTGGTGCTCTGACTGGTCCCACAATTCCAAGAAGGAAAAAGGACCCAGTCCGGGGTCAACACATTGGTAGCAGGAATATCATGCAATGAGAGGTCTGTGTTTTTCAGACACCTCCTCCCCAACTCTACCCCACACCACTAGGGAACATAGAAGGGATGAAAGTGAAGGCGATAACCAATAGTCAATAATAAAACTTTTACAGGCCTTCCCATGGGCCTTGCCTTTCCATGTTCCTTCTATGCTCCTTCCATGTGACTGTCCTTTATAACAAATAAGTTAATTTAAATAAAGCCTGTCTTGAGTTCTCAGAGTCAGCAATTGATCCTGGTGACAAGATCCCCAGAAACCCAACTTCTACTCAGCCAAAGGCATAGTCATAACCTTGGGCTTTTGAGTGGTATCAGATGCCTGAGCATGCATGTATTTGTGTATGTGTTGGGGCCACGATGGTGGGGGGGGCGGTAATCTGTCAGTCTTGAGAGACTAAGCTCCTAATCTACAAGATCTGGTACTATCCTTGGTAGACAGTGTCAGAAGGGAACTGGAGGATGCCCAGCTGGCATCTGCTGGTATGTGGGGAAAAGACCACCCATAAAAGTGTTGTATTGAGAGTAGAAAGCAGGAAAACAATTTTGTTTTTTTCCTATATGGCTTACAGAACTGCATGTTACAAAGTTTTAAGATTTTCTGTTTCTCTCTGTCTCTGTCTCTGTCTCTCTGTCTCTCTGTCTCTGTCTCTGTCTCTGTCTCTCTCTCTCTCTGAATTAATACCTAGCCAATTACTCTCATTGAAGAGAGTTGCTTTCTAGATATACCCATGTACCTAGCCCTGGTTCTAACAAAGAGGTTTTCTTTTTTCTTTTGTGAAAATACCGTACAGAGGGGTTACAATTACATGGGCAAGGTAATGAGTGCATTTCTTTTTTTGGGGGGAGGGTCCGGTCGTGGGGCCTGAACTCTGGGCCTGGGCGCTGTCCCTCAGCTCTTCAGCTCAAGGCTAGCGCTCTACCACTTGAACCACAGTGCCACTTCCGGCTTTTTTCTTTTTGCTTATGTGGTGCTGAGGAATCGAACCCAGGGCCTTGAGCATGCAAAGCAAGAGCTCTACCACTGAGCCACCTTCCCAGCCCACAATGAGTGCATTTCTTATCAAACATTGTTGCCTCCTCCTTTGTTTCCCTTTCCCATCCATTCCCCCCACCCCCTGCCCCAACAAAAAGGTTTTCAATAAATGCAGGTGACTAGTGGTAATATTGATGAAAGTATCACATGATTATTTAAGCATTTAATCTAACAAATACTTGTTTAATACCAGCTATATTCCAAGAATATCTTTGGATATTAGGGCTGCAGACAAAACAGATGAAGTTAGAGCCGGCATACAGCATATGTACATGCTGATACAGACATGTACATGATGTTTTATGTGACAAGTGTCCAGAAGAAGCAGCAGAACAAACAAGAATGTTCTAGAATGGGCTAGGAAGGTGGTTCAGTGGTAGAGTGCTTGCCTTGCATGTATGAGGCCCTGGGTTCGATTCCTCAGCACCACATAAGCAGAAAAAGGTGGAAGTGGCGCTGTGACTCAAGTGGTAGAGCACTAGCCTTGAGCTGAAGATCTGAGGGACAGCGCCCAGGCTCAGAGTTCAGGCCCCACAAACGACAAAAAAGAAAGGAAGAAAGAAAGAAAGAAAGAAAGAAAGAAAGAAAGAAAGAAAGAAAGAAAGAAAGAAAGAAAGAAAGAAGGAAAAAAACGAATGTTCTGGAGTGAGGGCAGGTTTCCTGAGAAAAAGCAAAGGGAGTGGTACCCTGGAAGACAAAAGGAAGAATTAAAGAGCTGAGCTAGGCTAAGAGCTCTTGATAGTAAATGTGCCTTGTCTAGAAGACAAGAGTGAGAATACGTCATGGGGCTTGGCTAGGGGAAATGGTTAGTGACTTTGATGAGAGTTGTTTCAGTGGAGTGGTGAGTGAAGGTGAAAGATCTGACTATGGCTAGACAATTGAAGAGAAATGAGGAGATAAGAGGAACAGTATAGTGGGCTCTTTCAAGGCTTTTTCTTTTCTTAGTCCTTAGGCTTGAACTTAGGGCCAGGATGCTTGTCTTTGAGCTTATTTTTCTCAAGGCTAATGCTTTACTATTTGAGTCATAGCTCCACTTCCAGCCATTTGTGGTTAGTTGGAGATAAGAGTCTCATAGATTTTTTCCTACCTGACCTGGCTTGGAACCACAATTCTCAGATCTCAGCCTCCTATGTAGCTAGGATTAGAGGCAGAAACCACCTGCACCCAACCTTCTTCTTTTTTTCTTCTGTGTTTTTGAAAACACTACAACATGTTTGAAAGCTGATAGGACTGACAGGGAAGGTGATGATACAGAAAATAAAGCAAGTTGTTAGAGCAAGGTCTTCCAGGAGGCAGAAGATCCAGTCCGTGAATGGAGGGTTGGTCTTAGAGCAACTGTGGTTCATTCATGGTACTAGAATACATGAATAACGTGTAGATATAGCTAGAAAAGAAGATCTATACCCTCATCTGGGTATAGATGTTAATGTGTCCACAAATGAGCGTGGTTGGGCCATCATTCCTGTTCTCACAGTCAAAAGGAAGTAGACAATCAATATACGGCAAAGAGAGGAAGATTTGGGGGAATCATACATGGGAGACAAAGCAATGACATAATCTTGTGCCTTTAAGATGTAGCTTGACCAGTGAAATGCAGTAGGACTACTGTGTGGAAGTCTGGGCCCAATTATGTTTAGAGGTCATGAAAAGATCAATTGACAAAGTTGTCCTTGTCCCCATACACAGTTAGCTTCTCAGGCTCATAACTGGTGAGGAAATGGGGTTTTTAAAGTACTTATTGAATCCTAAAAGAATGACTGAAACTTAACACCACAGCCCTTAGATTATTTGGGACCATATCTAAGCATTCTCTCTAGCTGTCAGATATATTTCTTCTACTTAGCAACTTCAATTCAGCATGAGAGGGCCTTTCATGACCCCTGGGCAGCCAGAGAGAGCTTGGTATCTTTTTGCCAAGCAGGTGGGCTGAGGTGACAAGTTCTCTGTCTCTGTGAACTTCCTGGAACACAAAACCTTACTGGAACACAGAACCACATGAGCTGGAAAGGACACTTGCCAGTGTTAAACTCTCCTTCTCTACCAGTGGAAATACCCTAGTAAGCTAGGATCTAAAGGGCTTGCCACCTGACACTGTACTTTCTATCCAACCACAGCCTTCATTTTAAATCAGCTTTTTCCTGGATGGAAAAGACCTATTGGGTAGTTTGTTAGAGAAATACACTTTTTGTTCCCATGAATTTTTCAATTCATGAAGTCTCTTCCTTTCCCTTTCCTGCCCTTGCTTGGTGCTGGTACCAGGGCTTGAACTCAGTGTCGCTTAGCTTTGCTACTCAAAGCTAGCACTCCATCACTTGACCCACAGCACCATTTCTAGCTTTTTGATGCTTAGCTAGAGATAAGACTCATGTGGACTTCCTGCCCCAGGTGGTTTTGAACTGTGATTCTCAGATCTCAGCCTCATGAATAGCTACTATTACATGAATGAGCCCACAGCTCCTGACAGTTTTTCTTTTCAATTGTGTGTGTGTGTGTGTGTGTGTGTGTGTGTGTTGCTTGTTGTTGGGGCTTAAACTCACTATGCTGTACATGAGATTTTCTACTAGCCTAGTGCTCTACCACTTTGAGCAGTTCAACTACTAGTTTTTAATTGGAGATAAGACTCTCACAGACTTTCCTGCCCGGGCTGGCTTCAAACTGCAATTCTCAGATCTCAGCCTCTTGAGTAGCTAAGATTACAGACATGAGCCACCAGCACCCAGCTGATGTTTGCTTTATTAATTTGTCTATGCTTATAGGAACTCCACCCAGCTGATGTTTGCTTTATTAATTTGTCTATGCTTATAGGAACTCATGCTTTGAATGTGCTGGAGAAAAATATTCATTTTTGGGGGGTCGGTCATAGGGCTTGAACTCTGGGCATGGCCACTGTCCCTGAGTGTTTCAGCTCAAGGCTAACACTCTACCCTTGAGCCACCACACCATTTCTGATTTTCTTTTGGTTAACTGGAGATAAGAGTCTCATAGATTCTCCTGCCTAGGCTGGCTTTGAACCATGATCCTCAGATCTCAGCCTCCTGAGTAGCTAGGATTATAGGCATGAGCCAACGGTGCCCAGCAACATTTTCATCTTTATAATATTTCACATTCTTGGTGTCCTTGTAAAATATTCTTTCTTTCTCTTTCATTCTTTCTCTTTCTCTCTCTCTTTCTTCCTTTCCTTTCCTATAGTACTGTGATTTAAACTCAAGATTCTGTGTTTTCTAGGCAGTCACTCTACTACTTGAGTCATGCCCCAAGCCCTTTTACTTTGTTATTTTGGGGGATAGTGTCTTTAGTTTTCACCCTGACAGCCTGAGCCATGTTTTTCCTACTAAAGCTTCCCACATAGCTGGGATGACAGGTGTGTCACTATGCCTGGCTTATTTTGCTCTGGCTGGCATCAAATCACAGTTATCCAGATTGCCCTCTAGCAAGTAACAGAGATTACAGACCTGAGCCACTGTGCCTGGCCAAAATTTCCATTTTGGAATTTTTGATTTTTAGCTTTGGGATGTTCACCTTTACCACTGGACTTTAGACAGGACTGGAATACATATATTTTTCTATGTTTTATCTTCCTCTATGAATTTTCTGCTATTACTTTGTTTTTGCAGTCCTGGAGTTTGAACTCAAGGTCTTAAACTTCCTAGGAAGATACTCTTCCACTCGAAACATGCTGCAAGCCCTTTTTGTTTTATTTTTCATGTAGGGTCTTGTGTTTTTATCTAGAGGTGATCTGGACCTCAGTACTCCTACCTATGGCTTCGAGAATAGCTGGGATAGAATCTCCTTGAATTTCTGCCCCACATGGCTCTGAATTTGTATCCTCACCATCTCCATCTTTAGAACAGCTGGGATTATAGACATGAACCAATGCTCATGGTTTGTGTTGTTAGGAGTTAAGTAGATTATGAAGAAAAAAATTATAAGAAATGCTCAGTTCTGGTTATAGAATATATCACTCTACAAGTATTTGTTAGCACTTAGCTATTAGGCATCATTTGAACCTTTGTAGGTACAGCAACGAGCCTAACAAAACAAAGCTCTTGTCCATTTGAACTTAAATTCTAGTGTGAATGAATGTATTTACTATTGACACATGACAATAATGATTTAGAATACATTTAGAATCACCGTCTACATATGTCCAAAATAACTATTGCTTGAAAATAACTTAAAGTAAATTGTTACTGATATATGCTACAGATGAAAGTAAGCCAGGCCCAAAGAAACATAGGTCCCATGGTTTCCCTTATTTGCAATAGCTAGTATATGTCTGAGACAAGCAGAAACGATCAGATAAGTTGATGTTAAGGAAATAAACCCTAGAAATGAATTAAAATGTCTTTTTCTTTCATGCGATTGTTTCTAACACCTTTATAAGATTATTTCTTTGTTGCTTTATATGTCTCTCCCCCACGGTATAACCCCTGCTTTCACTGTATTTGATGTTGGTATAATTTGTGAAGGGGAAAGGAAAAAACAAATCGTTTAAATAGGGATACAGGTGGACCCATTGCAACAATGAGATGCACAAGTCGTTATGTCGAGAACAAACTTTACAACTTTGGTGGGGAGGGAGGGAGGAGGATTGGGTGGGGAGGAGGGGGGAGGAGGATTGGGTGGGGAGGCAAGGGGAGGATGGGAAGGGATGGGAAAGGGAAACAAAGGAGGAGGCTACAATGCTTGATAAGAAATGTACTCATTATCTTGCCCATGTAATTGTAACCCCTCTGTACAGTATTTTCACAATAAAAAGATAGACCATAAAAATCCTACAGATGATCATTTAATGACTTTACATTAATATTGCCACTCATATCAAACTAGGTTTGATATAAGAAGCATTTCTAGGGAGGTACTTCTGCTGGTGGCAGGACCCTGGCTGGTCAGGGTAGACTGAAAGTGTGAGACCATACAAAAGTACTCACCTCTTCACATGCACCACATACTTTGTGTCTATGTAGGTGAGCGTCCCAGTGTCCCAGGTACAAGTCATGCTGCCTGAGAATTCATGGATGATGCAGGTTACCTGGTCAGGAGCATCCGGAGGATCTGCAATAAAATGTATCACTTAGGAGCCTCCATAAAAATCATAGAGTTCTGCTGGGCTCTGACTTGTAATACTAGTTACTCAGCAGGCTGAGATCTGAGAGTTTTGGCTTAAAGTCAACCTATGCAGGAAAGTCTGCGAGACTCTTATCTCCAATTAACCAACCAACCAACCAACAAAAAAACCAGAAGTAGAGTTGTGAGTCAAGTGGTAGAGTACAGTAGAATGCTAGCCTTGAGCAAAAACATTCAGGGACAGTACCTAAAGTCAAGCTCCAGGACTGGCAAAGAAAGGGAGAAAGAGAGAGAGAGAGAGAAAGAGAGAGAAAGAAAGAATGAGAGAGGGAGGAAGGGAAGGAAGGAGAGAAAAAGGAAGGAGAGAGAGAGAAAGAAAGAAAGAAAGGAGAGAAAAAGGGTCAGAGGAAGGAAGGAGAGAAAGAAAAGAAAGAAAGAAAGAAAGAAAGAAAGAAAGAAAGAAAGAAAGAAAGAAAGAAAGAAAAGAAAGAAAGGAGGAAAGAAAAAGGAAGAAAGAGAGGGAGGGAAGGAGAGAAAGAAGGAAGGAGAAAGAAAGGAAGGAAGGAAGGAAGGAAGGAAGGAAGGAAGGAAGGAAGGAAGGAAGGAGAGAAAAAGGGACAGAGGAAGGAAGGAGAGAAAGAAAGAAAGAAAAGAAAGGAGGAAAGAAAAAGAAAAAAGAGAGAAAGAGAGAGAAAGAAAGAGAGAGGGATGGAGGGAAGGAAAGAAGGAAGGAGAAAGAAAGAAAGAAAGAAAGAAAGGAAGGAAGAAAGAAATAGAAAAAGGAAGGAGAGAAAAAGGGAGAGAGGAAGGAAGGAAAGGAGGGAGGAAGGGAAGCAGGAAGGGAGGGAGAAAGAAAGAGAGAAAGGAAAAGGTTTTTATAAAGTAGCTTTGGGCTGTTAGGTTTGTGTGAGAGGCCAAGCCAGTGAGCACTGAGCATGTCTGGGCTCCTTCCTCCATCCCCAATGTCTCCCTTGCAACGCTGACAAACATCCTCTCCCTCCTCTACTGTACTCTTTTGGGGAGACTATTATCCATACAAACAATCCAACTCAATGTTATCATTTATCCAACTAAAAAAGCCCTCCCTCAGCTACCATATGGCCTTTCTCCTTATCACTAAAACATCCTGTGTGTGTGTGTGTGTGTGTGTGTGTGTGTGTGTGTGTGTGTGTGTGTGTATGTTCTGAGACAGGGTCTCATTATGTATACCAGGTTGGCATTGAATTTGGGATCTTCTTGTCTCAATTTCTCAAGTATTGTGATTACAAGCACACACCACTACACTCAGCGATAGTAAAACAGCTTAAGAGTCAATTACTCTTCTCCCATTTATTCATGAGACAAAGCAATCAGGATTCAGCTCCCACAGTTTCATCAGAACTACTGTTGCCAAGGTCATTAATGATACCCCCCAGTTTAATGCCACCCTACACTCTCGTGTTGACTTTTTGTTGGTGGTGGTGGTTTTATTTTTGTGCCATCCCTCAGGCTTGAACTCAGGGCCTGGACTTTGTCCCTGAATTTGCTCAAAGCTAGCACTATATTACTTGAGCCACTGCTCTTACGTCAGGCTTTTGGTGGTTAATTGGAAATATGAGTCTCACAGATTTTTCTGTCTAGGCTAATTTCAAACTGCTCTCCTCAGATCTAAGCCTCCTAAGTAGCTAGGATTACAGGTATGACCCACCAGAGCCCCTGGCTTTGTTGGCTGTTATTGAACTCTTGACCTCTGCTGCATTTGATATTTAGCTCACTTCCTCTTCAAAACCTCTCATGTTTCTCGGGTTTTGTTGAAGGGTTTGTCTGGGCTTTTTTGTTTTTGTTTATTTGTTTTGTCTTTCTGTAGTTCTGGACAACTGTCTCTTCCTCTGGAACATAATTCACTCTTTAAAAGTTCGTGTTCATCTCTTCAAAGGAGTATTATTCAGTGGTAAGAGGAAGGTAACTTTAAACCATGCCACAATGTGGATTAAACTTGAAGATACTAGGCTAAGTAAAATAAGCCACACACACACTTGTGATTCCCTTGCATAAGGAATCTTCAATATTCAAACTTGTCAGATACCACTAGTTCATACCTATAATCCTAGCTACCCAGGAGGATTGAACTTCAAAGCCAGGAGAGGCAGAAAAGTCTATAAAACTCTTAACTCTAGTCAACCAGCAAAAAGCTTGAAGTAGAGTTGTGGTTTAAGTGGTAGGGCACCTGTCTAGAGTGAGAAAGTGAAGTGAGAATATGAGGCCTGAGTTCAAGCCTCAGTACCAGGGCATTGAAATGGGGATTTTTTTGTTCAATAGATACAGTGCTTTAGCTTGCAACATGGTTTGAGAGAAAGTGCTGGTAGCTGCATAGCGTGATTGTTTTGAATGTCATTGAATTGAGTATGGAAACATGGTAAAAACCAATGTACATTTATGTCATGTGAATTTACCACCACCAGCATCACATGAAAAGTTTTTTTTTTAATTTGGTATTCACAGAACTCTATTTCAAGGCTAGTTCTCTTTCTCTCCCACATGCCTGCCCTCTTCCCTTACCCCTAACTCCTGGCCAGCTCTTCCCCCCTTGGTTTATTATGGGAAATAAAGTTAGTTTTCGTGTCAGTATATTTTCTCTTTGAGAATGGACATCCCTCAGATCCCCTCACCCTTACCCCACCCTAACCTACTACCTTACCCCACTTCTCCCTACCCGACTCCACCCCAAGGCTGTTATTCACTGAACCCTGTGTAGAAGTGTGCCTTTGCTCTATGCTGACTAGTTGAAGAATTTCCCTTGGGGATCATGCATGGGACTCAAGATGGATCAATTAGAATTTCGGTGTCAAAGCAGGTAAGCTCTGAGCTGTTGGTGACCATCTTGACAAGAGCACGTGTCTTCTGTTAGGAATCTTTAGGTCCCAGATGGGAACAGAGGAAAACGATCTGACGACACTACTCAAACTCCTGTAGCCTCTGAAACCTGTGAAATCCCAGCAATGATAGAACAAATGAAATCTGGAATTTTCTGTTATATATCCAATAGGACAGACCAAAAATCACAAGACTGGGCTGGGAGGGAAGCGCCATGTTGTTATTAGCACAAAGTGGATTCCAATAAGGTACTAGTGACTCAAGCCTATAAATCCTAGCTACTCAGGAGGCGGAGATCTGAGAACCACCCCTTTTATCATTCTCTCTGATTTCTCCCAAACCCACCTCTCCACTCAATTCAGAGCAGACTCTTAGTTCCAAATAACCAGCAAAAAACAAGAAGTGAGGGCATGGTTCAGGTTGTCGAACACCAACTGTAAGTGAAAAAGTTAAGGCAGAGAAAGAAGAACTGAGTTTAAGCTCTGGTACTGGCACACATACACATAAAACGTATGAAGTGTTGAGTACTTATCATATCCTTACATTGCAAAGGTGATTTTCTCACCTCATTCTCACGTGAACTATTGCTTGGGGTATGTAACTCTTTAGTGAATTATGAGAGATTTGGAAGGAAGGTGGTGGTGATGGTAAGTGTGTGAAGTGTTATAAAAAAAATACAGGCAAGAGCTTCTAGAAAACAGGGTCTGTGATTCTTTGCCTTTCTATAGTTAGCACATTTTTACTATATATAACAACCACTCAGTGAAGATTATCCCATGGATTCAGTGTCTTTAATGAGATGATAATGAGGATTAAAGATCAGACTGCCATTTCTTCCCGTAAGAAAGCCTGGGCCAACCAAATTCTGCTTTATTGATACCTACTGTATAGCAATAGCAATGTTATTGGGGAATAGGAAGGGGCTTTAGGGGAACAATTCTGCTCTCAACACTATACATAGAGGTAAAAGATGGTTTATTTCAAGGAAGCTTAAAATTTTAAATATACAAGTAAGTGGAAACATTTTTTTCTGGATTATGTTAATTTGGCATTTTAAAAAGTTGTCATGGAGTGATTTAATCTCATTATTGGAGTGGCCTGGTTAAACAAATTTCCCCTAATATGTGTGCAGTTAATCACAGCAATTGATCACAGTTACAAAAATCTTAGAAGTGTTTAAGGTTATGGCTCAAACTGGAAACTATGATAGATTATATTTCACAAAATTACACATTAGAGTAGAGAAACTTTTAAATATTTGGATATCTTTTCAGGGAAAGCAATGACTCATTTATCTTCTACCTTTTATGTCTTACTCTCTAGTCTAAAAAAATATGCCTGTAATCATTTTGTTCCCCACAGTGATGATACATTGATGTAGTTAATTTCACAGGACAAATATCCTGTGATCAAAGTGGTCAGGTGAAAGCAATGTGATTTCTAGAATGCCACAAAACCTTTCCAAACCTTCCTGTGACCTACTTCAATAGGAAGTTCTGTTTGCTAAGAACACAGAGATGAAGCGCACATTCAACTCAGATGCAGGGTTTTGGTAGTTATGTTTTTATACTTATAACCAGAGGTCTGTGTAAATAGTTACTTGAATGGACAGGATACTGTTCTTTCTACACTGCCATTCACAAAGAATGGAAGCTTTCTCTTAGATTGTTCTAGAAGGAGAGCCTTCTGTCAGCTGAAACATGGCCTGGTGTAAGGGCTTGGCCCTTACAGCCAACACTAGAGGGACTGTCAAGAGTAATCAGTGGCCCCAATGGCTATATGTCTAATATATCTATAGGAAATGAACCGTTGTTTTGAGCTGAGCTTCTGGACTGGGCACTGACAGACCTAACCGAAATGGAGTGACTTATACTAAGTGCTGCATAATCAAACTAAAAGTGTAAAGAAGCAAGTCATCACCTCTCCCCAGTAGACCAGTTTTTCCTGAAAATCAGACTTACCATATCCGATTTGAAAAGGTTCAGTTACCCTGAAGCCTGGTGAGAACTTTTACAAAAAAAGCAACATCCCTCACTCTCTTCTACTATTCTATTGCCTTGTTTCCACCTTACAAAACCCAACTTGTTCTGTCCTGTCCCATGAATCACCAATACAGTCAACTAGATCTTAAAACTAAATTTGTAGCTGGTACCAGTAGTTCATCCTTGTAATCCTAGCTACCCAGGAAGCTAAGATCCCAGGATCTAGGTTTGAAGCCAGCTTGGGCAGACAGCTGTGAGTGACTCTTATCTCCAGTTAACTAACAAAACTCATGATTATAAGGTGTGGCTCAAGTGGTACAGCACCAGCCTTGAGCGGAAAAAGCTAAAGGAGAAAGCAAGGTCCTGAGTTCAAACCTTAATACCAGAATGAAAACAAACAGAAATTGGATTTGTTGGACTTTGTCTTTTAGCTCAAGTGATACATATTTTACATCTTTTCCTCCTCTGGCTTAAATTAACAACTAGCCTTCTTTAACTGCGGAACTTTCTTATTAGCCCTCTGAAGAGAGATTATATATCCCCTGACTCTTACCTTCATCCCTAAGAGGAAAAATGGTAAAAATCTTTAAGCAGTGAGGGTTGGTTATGTTTCCTGAGGATGTGGACAAGCTTAGATTTCCTGAATCAGATAAGGTTCTTGCCTCTGGTTTAATTTCCACAATTTAGGGCAAGTTTCACTGGTAAGGCCTACATTTACTAATTTCGTTCTTTGACTCCAAAACTTAAACTATTTCTCTTTCTCAAATCACTGGTCCCTCTCCTTAGTTCTCTGTTTCAAAGGCATGCGCTGTCAGCTACCCAGAGGTAAGTGGGGCAAAGGCCTCCTCACAGAACAGATGGTCAGGCAGCAAAGATGGCTGCCGGTAGTGGTGTTTAGTCTGGTTCTTGTAGCTAAAGTCTAGAGGTGATGGAGAAACATGAACTGATTTTTGGTTGCCTAAACAATGGAAGAAGAATAGAGGCAAAGACTAAAAGCCCCTCATTTTTTCACTGGTGATGAACAAAGGCATCACACAGAAGAGATCTCTGTATTAAACCAGTCCTGAAGTGATTGATCTGTCCTTCCTAATATAAGAACTGAGATCTATGTCCATATATAATTACTTAATACTTACTTATAATTACTCAGTTCACTTTACTGCAGTAACTTACATACTTTCAGAATGTTATGGACAAAAATTGAATTTAGGATCTATTTTCAAGATTAAACTGATTAATTAAAAAATTATTATAGTAATGTGCATGCTAAGTCACACTGTGTGTGGGGGGGAGGCAATGGTATTAGAAGCAAGGAATTGTTGGAGAACCGCCTTATGTTTCATCAAAAAAGATGCATTTGTTAGGATTCAGACAGTGAGGCTATAATTCAAAAAGTTTAAATCATTGAAGTTCAATGCTAAACAAGGCCAGCATAACTGGCTTCATTTTACAGACAAACAACAGAGGCTCTGCGATTGTTTAAGCAAATTGTCAATGGTATATATAACTACCCAGGGTTAGGGTGAAAACCAAAGCTAGTTTTGCAACTTTTCCTGAATCTGGATCTTAAAATGTCTCAATGGAATCTTCTTTAACTTAAGGATATTAGTTTGGGGAAAACAAAAACAAAATGTAAGTGAAAAAGCAGGGGGGAAAAAGTAATAATTTGGGGGGGGACAGAGGGGATGGAAAGGGATGGGAAGGGGAAACAAAGGAGGAGGCAACAATGTTTGATAAGAAATGTACTCATTACCTTGCTCATGTAATTGTAACCCCTCTGTACAGTATTTTCACAATAAAAAAAGAAAAAGAAAAAGAAAAAACAAAAAAGTAATAGTTTAATTTGTTCTTATTGTTCTTGAGAGGATCTTAGTATAGAACACAGATGGACTCAAATCTTCCAATTCTCCTGCCTCCTTCTCCCAAGTGCTAGAATTACAGGTACGAACCACCACACTAGACTCAATAGCATAATTTTAAGTCTGAAGGTATTTGTTTTTTGGTCTTGTTTGGCCAAAACAAGTGGTGAAAAATTGATTTTCCAAATGCATCAGCAATATTTTATAATCTAGAAAGTTTACATTAGGCATTCATATTTCTGTCTTCCTCAAGGGAAGAGTTAAAAGATTTTGGCCCTCACCAATGCTGGGTCTGGGCAGAGTCTGCATCAGCAAACCATACATTTCTTTCTTCTTTGCACAGGGGGCATCAGTCCCCTCAATCCTAGACATTTGAATTCATAGCAACTGTCGTATACCAATCTAAGAGGGGAACTATGTCAATTTGCCTCTAGTTTTAGATAAGATGGGTGGTCATCAGTAAACTGTGTGTATTTCGAGCATGCCAGAATACTTACATCCAGAATAAATGTCTTTTCCACATATGAGAGTTTCTTGAAGACGTCCAGGACATTTTGTAGTGCAATACACTGAGGCATGTGGCTCCTGAAAGTTTTTATACCAAAGCCGAGCTGTTGTTTGGTTAATCGTTGTGATGTGAGAACTTTCTTTGATGCCATTTTTATAAAAGTTAAGTTTAGTCGGTTGGCAGTTCTTAATTGTTGCTTGACAATAGACAGAGAGATTCATACCCATTCTAACAAGGGTGGCTGGTTCTACCCAGATGTTGCCAGAGCAGTTTATATTCACAATTCCTGGAAACAAACATATAGTTTAATAAATTCTATGTAAAGCATTACAAAAGATTCAGAAGAGTATCTTATTGCACTTTAAAGTTATTCTTTTCTATTAATTACATGATTTCAATGGAAAAAGATTACGTCTATGTTTTTATTGATATATTTGTTATAGTGTGCTTTTTATCCTACATCTAATAGTGTTCAACAAAATTACATTAAGCTTCTCAAATTTTCTAAAGAGCAAATATAATTAGCTTTTCTACTTTAATATGAGAACAGAGGCATCATGAAACATCATCATTTATTAGAGATCAATTAGAAATAATAGCGGCATTGCAGAATCTAAACCCCATTCTCTAGATACCCAATTAATCTTTTGTTCTTTCCTTTTAGATAAAAGCTACTTTATCAGCAAATCATGAATATAATGAATAAATGAAAACATAGGGATGAAAATAATGAATAAAACTATACTCTTGCAGTAACAAAAAGCTAGTGCTTGAGAATTGCATAAAGTTTATCACTAATTTAATCTGAGAAAATATTCTCAATAGATTGCTAAATTAAAAAGCAAGTTGTGAAACAACATATTTAATATAGGACGATGTTAGAAATAGGTGAATTGAAGAAAAATACACTGTTATTAACAACAGTAATCTCTGTATTAATATTTTTATTTTAACTTGTATATCAAGTGATTTAAAAATTACATGATGAATATATTACTTTCATAACCAAAAAACATTCTCATTTAAAATCATTTGTCTGAGAGGTATACTTAATGATAGAATGCTTTCCCTGGGCTAAATCTCTAGCACTGAAAAGTAATAAATAAATTAAGCCATTTTTGTAAAGCCAAATGACTACGAAATACATTATTGATGAAATGCAATTCACACCAGAGAAAATTTATTATGATTGTTTTCCTGGAAACACTCCCATTAAAGTACGTCTAAATCTTATCAAACTAATGATTGAGGTCATTTTTTTATTTTAATTTTTAAGGGGCTTTAGCCTTGGAACACAGTTTAAAGAATTAACTTGTTATACAATATAACCTAATTGAGAATTTCCTTTTGTGCAGTGAACATTTACATATAAATTCTAAATTTAAATGTTGAAGTGCAGCTAATAATTCTATCATCAGAGAGAATTGAAGTCAAGGTTATGAAAAAGCAGGGGGGCGGGTGGGCAGTACTGGAGATTGAACTCGGGGCATTGAGCTTATAAGGCAGGCACTCTCGAGCCATACACTTTTTTTTATTGCCTATTTTTGAGGTAGGGCCTGACTTCATGCTAGGTCTGTGATTCCTTTGTCACTGGGATGACAAGCACGAGCCACTGTACCCCATCTTGTGCTCCCTCAATAGCTGGGGTAACAGACATGCACCTTACCTAGCCACTGATGGATATGGAATCTTGTGATCAGCCCAGCTGATCCACACCTCTCACGTAGTGATTGGACAATCTCCTTCTTGGATTCCTCAAAGCTAAATATGCCTGTCCCACAGGAATCTGGTCTTCTGGGCAGGGCCAGGGGTTTATATAAATGATGAGATAGGAATAGTGACAGCACATAGTAGGACTGTACAAGGCTATTGTGGGGAGTAAGAGGTTAGGGCAAAGCCTGGCACATAGTAACCATCAATAAAGGGTTTGTAAACTCTAGCATGCCAGAACAAAGCCATAAGCTTCTTCATGGAAATATTCATATGACTTCGAGGGCTATCCATTAGGACTAGTTAAGAAACTACCCCTGTATTTGGACAGTTCTTGGCCCATTTAAAATTCATTCCATATAAACTTTTGTATATGTATTTTCCCTACCTAATCAGTTTTGTATTTTCCAGAGATCCTGGCATAATGCTTTGAAAGGAATGATTACTTAATATTCTATTTGTGGAATAGAAAATACAGATAGACACACAAAGTACTATACCTCCATGGCACCAACTGAAGAAAATGTAAAGAACTCTTACTGCATTCAGTTGAATCCTGACCTGATTCATGCTCCCAATCAGGATAAAGCCCTTTGTTTCTCTCTGGAAAAAATATTTTTTAAAGTTTACATTGTAGCATTTTAATAAAATAATAAAAAGCACCCCTCTGTGCAGTATTTTCACAATAAAAAACTTATTAAAAATAATAAAAAGCTTTAGATTTTCTTGACAATTCTTTAATAAAAACTCTGTGTGTGTGTGTGCATGTGCTGGTACTGGGGTTTGAACTCACGGCCTGGGCACTATTTCTTGCTCAAGACTAGCATTCTACCACTTGAGCCAAGGCTCTGTTTCTGGCCTTTTGGTAACTGATTAAAGATAAGAATCTCATGGTCTTTCCTGGCCAGGCTGGCTTTGAACTACAATCATCAGATCTCAGCTTCCTGTGTAGCTAGGATTACAGGTGTGAACCAGCAGTCCTTGGTTAATAGGAAGTTTTGATTAGGAAGAATAGAAAGAGGGAGGAAAGGCATGGAAGAAGGGAGGGAAAGAGGGAAGAAGGGATGAAGAAAGCAAAGGAGGAAGACAGAAATGGAGGAAAGAGGACAAATAGATGTCTCAGAGGAGGTACAATAACAGTAGATCAAAAAACCAGAAGAATGAAATTGTATCTCCTTAAAATTTACTGAATTACCTTAGGAGTTCACTTAACATATTAAAATGTTAATTCCATTTATTTAATCTCTATCATCATCAGACCGTGTTTCAGTGCTAATTTACTATGATGAATTCAAAATTGTAATTCTGAACAGTACCAGAATTCTGACCAAATACTCTAGAAATAACATTTTCTGATGAGCAAAAATTTGAAAAAAGCCCCCAATTTAAAAACTCCTAGAGGGTAAAGGACACAAAATGAAAAAAAAATAAAAGAAGCGAGACAAAGATAGTTCACTTTCACCACTTAAACTAAGAGTCCTTGTTTTAGAGCTCAAAAGAAACCTGTTACAATGATTTTGAACAACACTTTCACTAGTTGACAAGTTAGTTAGGCAATCCACTTCATCAGTCACATTATTCAACAATTCACTTACCCAATACCCAGTTACTATATTTTTAAAATCCATTCAGTAAATTCAGTAGAACCACTTCAATACAACCCACAGCTCAGCAAATAGCATAAAACATCTGATGATTAAAACAACAACAAACAAAAAAAACAGGGGTGTTGTGGCCTAAGAAGATAGAGATGATCTCTCGTTAGCAGTTGATCGTCCCTGCATAAGTAAAAGGCAACACAACTCCTAAAGCTCCCTATTTCGAAGTTCACTACTTACCTGTGGAATATACCATCAGTACTTATTAGAAGTGATGAGGTGTTGAACAATGCTGCAAGTTCAGATTTCATCAGCAACCACCATGTGCAATAACCCTGAGAACAAGGGAAAGCCTTGTGGCCATGGGTTTCAGAAGCAAACAGAACAGTTTGTAAGCATGTGGATGATGGGTGTCCCTTTACCTTTCAGCCTCTTGGAGGCCCTTGCTGCCTGCGATGGCTGGGCTGCTGCTTCTTTCTCCACTGCCTGCCTGTCAATCATCCTTTCAGATTTTCATTTGTGGGCATATGGAAACATTAGCAGAACATTGACCTACATTTCTTATTCTTGAAGAGGAACTCAAAGCTGCCCATTTCAAAATGACTGACTATCATGTCACTCTTTGGGAAAACCCAGATCACTGAAAATGAACTGCTTTGTCAGGGTTTTTCTATCATATTCATTTCTAATTACTTGTGTCATCCAAGAAATAGAACATATCTGCTTGCTTGATCTGATCAAAGTTTTCACACCTAAAATAGGTGACACGGTTTTCATTTGTAACCAATTTTGATATTAATTATAAAGCTGTTTCCTTATGAGAATTTGCCAGCTTTGAGGTACTGTTGGTAAAGATTGTGATTGGATGCTATGTGACATGCTGTTTGATATGTATTTTGTGAAGTGATTTCTGCTATCTAGTTAGATAACACATCACCTCCCATTGCTTTTGTTTCATGGTGACTACATTTAAATAAATTTTAGATTTATTTTTAAGTTTTAGAAAGGATTTGTCGTAGTATAACAGGATTAAATTAGGGAGAAATAGAAAAATAGAAACAGTTCCTGCTCCCTAGGCAGAATATGGGAATTAAAGACTCCTTAGTTTGTTTTAAGATAGGGTCTCACCATGTAGTCCAGACTGGCCTGGATCTCACCATGTAGTTTAGGTTGACCTTGAAGTCTCCATTCTCTCACTTTAGTTTCCTGAATGCTGGTATTACAGGTATGAACCACCATGTCAGGCCATAAAGGCAAATCTTAAGCAAACAGTTCATTATTGTTAACTGCAGTAACCATGATAAATATTTGACTCCTGAGCTTATGGCTCCCCTTCTTATTTACCCCTTGCCTCTGCCAGCCACCATTTGACTCTGTTTCTATGTATTCTTTCAATTTATTTAGTTATACTTCGATTGTACAATATTTACCATTTTTGTCTGATTCATTCCACTTAGCATGTGCTCAGGGTTCAATCATGTTTATTGCAAATGTCAGATTTTCTTCAAAGCAGAATATTTATCCTGCATATATATATATATATATATATATATATATATATATAATCTATTGAGATCTTGTTTGGAGGTTTTAAAAGATGAACATAGCTACTCATACACTCTGATTGAAGAACAGTCTTCCTCTGTGGGGGCTGCACGAGCACATAGCTTTGAGAGAGAAGAATACGGAATTGTGCACAATGAAGGAACACCAACCTAGCCAACCAGATCAGCTGAATCAATGCTAGTAATCAATGAGATGACAAGGGTTGCATCACCCTCATGTCACAAACCACAGTGTCTTTATGCATTCCTCTGTCAATGGGCCATGTCTTGACTGTTGAGAATAACATGGCCATATGCAGGGAGTGCAGATGCCTCTATATGACACTGGTTTAATTTCTTTTGAATATACACCAGAAGAAGGATTGATGGGTCATATGAATTCTCTCATTCCCATTATGACATTAGGACAGTACCATCTTACCTTCTCACCACTTATATCCTCAACGCTTGTTCTCTTGTCTTTCACAATAGTCATCCTGACGGGGGAGATGAGATGGCATTGTGATTTTGATTGGTATTCTCTGGTGCTGAGTGAAGTTGGGTACCCTTTCATATACATGTTGGCCATTTGTTCTTTATTTTTGGGGGGAAGTAGTGCTTTGGATTGAACCCAGGACCTCCTGCATGCTGAGCACACCTTCTAACACTGAGCCACACTTCCATCCCCAAACTATTGTTCCTCTGCTTGTCTTCCTTGGAAAAATATCTGTCTGGATTATTTTCTCACTTTTTAATTGTGTCATTTGTTTTTCTTTTTTTTTGTTGTCTTTGCTTTATTTGTTTCCAAGTCAGTCACATGAGTTCTTTGTATATTTTGGATATTAACTCCTTATCAGTTTGCAAACTTCTTTTCATAGCAAGATAAGTCACCATGTTAGTTTGTTAACTGTTTCCTTTGCTAAACTGAAGACATTTAGTTTGATATATTCTTATATAGATCCCATGGTTTCTCTTATTTGCTATAACTAGTATAAGTCAAGGACGAGCAGAAAAGGTAAAAAACTATGTACTTATTTTGTTTGCTTTTGCTATTTGTACTTTTGGTGTTTTATCCTAAAAACCTTTGACAGACTAATGTCAAGGATCTTTTTCTCTATGTCTTCTTCAATAAGTTTTATGGTTTCTGGCTTTATACTTAAGTCTCTGATCTATTTAGAATTAATTTTTGTGAAGAGTGTATAAATACATTTCTTAAGAAAAGTAAGTTTGACTGTTATTGTTAGTCATCCATTTATCAAAAGACACATTTGATCATCTTGAATGTGCCAGGAATTATTCTGACATTAAAGATGTAATGGTTTTTAGCTACAGTAAAGTTCCATTTTTGTATTATTTACAATGGTTCATTCATAGATCTGCTCCTTTGAATTACTGTCTATAACTTAACAGGGTTCCATGAGCAAATAATATATCAACAGAATATTTGGTTGGCTTATCATAGGCATCGCCAGGGTGCTTTTCTGTAACCTGTTTTCTTATCTCCTCCTTTTCAGTCCATGTAGTTCTTTCTTTCCATTAAAGTAACAAGCCATTTATTTATTCATGTACTTGTTTTCACCATAAGCTTCTTTTCCTCCTCCTCCTCCTCCTCCTCCTCCTCCTCCTCCTCTTCTTTAGAAAGTGCTATGATTTGAACTCAGGGCTTCAAGATTGCTAAACTGGTACTCTACCATTTGAGCCACATGTCCAGCCTACCTTTTTGCTGGTTATCTGGGGATGGAATCTGGTGATCTTTTCTGCTTGGGTTAGCCTGGAATGTCAATCCTCCAGAACACAGGCTGTTTAGTAGCTAGGATGACAAGCATGAGCCCCAATGCCTGGCTTACAATAAACTCAATGACAAAAACTCCATATTCTCCTTTTAATTCTTATACCTTTAATACCTAGCACACTAGAACACTTTAAAGGACCATTCAAAACATTCTGATGCTCAAACACATTCTGGAACACAAAATCAGAATTTCTGCCCGGAGAGGATGGATACTGATACTTTATTTATTTTTATTTATTTATTTTTTATTTGTGAACATACTGTACAGAGGGGTTACAATTACATGGGCAGGATAATGCGTACATTTCTTACCAAGCATTGCAGCCTCCTCCTTTGGTTTACCCTTCACATCCCTTCCCAGCCTCCCCCCTCCCCCCCAATCCCAACCCTTCTCCTCCCCCCCTCTTCCCCCCCCCCCGACTGACGTTGTAAAGCTCGTTTTGGACATGACAACTTATACTTCTCCTTGTTGTATCAGGTCCACCTGTATCCTTAAACAACTGTTTTTTCCCCCTCTCCTCCACAAGTTATACTGACATCAAATATAGTGAAAGCAGGGGTTATACTGTGGGGGAGGGACATACAAAGCAACAAAGAGATAGTCTTATAAATGCGTTAGAAACACATGCATGAAAG